AGAGAGAGAGAGAGAGAGAGAGAGAGAGAGAGAGAGAGAGTTTTTTTTTTCTTGTATTTTTTCACATTCCTTAACCTTTCTTGTTGTTTTTGTTTCAGGTTTCGATGGTCGCTGGCAGTGCGAGGATGAAGATGGAGACCAACCGAAACTCCAAGAGTCATACACCGTGGACGCGGCGACATACTCGGCCGCGCGGCCATATCCGCGGATTCGATCGCGTTTGCGCGGCGTTTATCTCGGCCACGCTTCGCGGATTGTCTTCTAGAGCCTGCGAAAGTGGGACACGGTGGTCTTCAGGCGGGACAAGGCGGCCGCAGGGCCAACAGCGTGGTCAGGGACCGCAGTGCACCACGCAAGACACGGGGACTTCATCATCTGCAATGGGGGAGGGGGGGGGAGGCGGTGTCAGGGCAAGTAACGACTAAAATGACGGGTGGTGCAGGTGGTTCGGGGGGCGGCGATTTCATACCTGCGACCAATGCACAAATGTCATTGGATGAACTGCGCACCAAGTCCAGAGTGTGGCGTCATGTGACGCAGGGTCAAAGGATGGGGACGTGGGAGAAGAGGCATGGGGACTACAAGCTGCGCTACAATTATTGCAAACACGTGTGGCAGGGCAATGTGTCGAAGGCTCAGCGCCACTTCACGCAGTTGAAGAGGTGCGCGACAGCGACGATGGACGTGTTTGTCGATATTTGGAACCACACAGACTACGAGTTCAATGCACGTCATCACCGCGGTATCTTGGCATACATGAGGGAGCATGATATCGCGGATAGACGAGCTGTTGACGACACTCGACTCATTTGCAGGGGCAAGACGAGTGGGAGGGAGTCGCAACCACATGAGCGTGATTTTGTGGAGGAGGTGCAGGACTTCCTTGACAAGGAGGCCAGGCGAGCAGAGGTCAGGGGCGGAGAGGAGGATAGAGGGACATGGACAGCACCAGATTTACCGGGAGAGGAGGTGGTTATGACTACGCGAGGGAGTGGGGCCGCAGACCATCGCAAGGGGGACGCACAGGGGCGAGCCGGGAAGAGGCCTGTTGAGAGTGGAGTTGAGGGCGTGCCGCAGGCGTGTAAGAGACAGCGGTAGTCCAAATTGGACGAGGTGTACGATCCGGATGGGCAGGCCGCCTTCAAGGACTCCTTTTTGCAGTAGGTCTACGAATCCGGTATCCCATTTGCCTATGCAGACCCCCGTACGAATACGGGTCGTACGTACGTACGTACGGTCGTAGATACGGGCTCATATGGTAGTACGGGCCATACGTACGGAAAAAAAGCAAAAAAAAAAAAATCAAAAAAAATTGAAAAACAAATATGCTATGTAGAAAAAAAAACTGAAACACTTTTGCCTCAGGGTCATATTGAAATTCGTTACCAAATTTGAGATACAAAAATGAAACTTTTTTTTTTTTTTTTTTTCCGTACGGGGCTGTACATACGGCCGTACGATAACCCCCCCTACGTCGTACGGAGTGTTACACAGCTGTTTGCTGCATTCAGGAGGCAGTCATTGCTACGGCACAAGAAGTAGTTGGCCGCCATGCCTCGTGGAGTGCGGCCAATCTATCCATCGTTCAAGGACGTTGGCGGCGGGGGCATTGTTGCTCAGCGAGGGAAGGTTGCCGCGATGTTGCGGAAGGTGCGTGCTTCGTTTGAATCGGTAGGGGCCATTATTTTTTCAGACGGTAGGCAATCGCGAGATGCTAGGCCTTTAGTTAACTTCCTCGCAGCCACCAAGCGCGGTGCCCTCATGTACGCCACCGTCTAGCGAGACGGTTTAGTGCCCGAGATGGCACAGATTGTCCTGAGGAGGTGGAAGGCCATTTTTCGGTTTTTCCCTCCGAAGGACATGTTGGCCATTTGCACGGACTCTGCGTCGAACTATACGTCGGCCGCAAAGCTCCTTGCAAAGGACATCGATCCGCAGATCCGCCGTATCACTCGGTTGTCGCCTTCCACCCACGTCTGCAACTTGATGTTGTCTGACATTGGGCCACGGGTTCCTTGGGTTACGGACACCATATTTAGAACTCAGGCGTTGGTGCGATTTATTAAATCGCACGGTGTGGCTTATCATATTTTCAGGGTGAAGAGTCGTCGCCGCACACTTGTGCACCTCGTGGAGACGCGATTTGCGTCTGTTTTTTTTTATGTTTGTTTGTTTGCTCGCCAGGCGTAATGCCTTACAGAGCATGCTTCATGACGACGAGTGGGACAAGATCCCATGCACTATGAAAAAACACCCGTGTACGCGTGCGCGGTGTCGAGCTCGAAAGGCGGACGTATATACGGCTGCGTCCGTGGCCGACGTCATCCGCGCTGCGAACGCAAATTTACCATATTTTTCCTGAATTAAATAATGGGTGTATATATATATAAATAAATGTATATATGGGGTTGTAGGGATTTTTTATCCCTACAACCCTATATTTTAGTTTTTGGAAACAAATAAGTTTTTAGAATAATAAAAAATAAAAAACAGAAAAACTGGAGCAGAAAAATTGAAAAAAAAAAAAAAGTTTTTTTTTGGGGGGGGATTTTTGGTTGGCAGTTCTTTGTATTCTTCGTTCTTAATTTTTATTTTTAATTTTTTTTGTCCTAAGGAAACTATCAAGGAATTGAAAAAAAATATATGGTTTTTTTTTTCCGGGGCCTTTTAATATTTGTGTGTGAACGTGTGTGTGTGTGTGTGTGTCTTTGAATGTGTGTGTGTGTGTTCGAATGTGTGTGTGTGTGTGTGTGTGTGTGTGCATGTGTGTGTGTGTGTGTGTGTGTGTGTGTGTTAGTGTGTGTGTGTGTTAGTGTGTGTGTGTGTGT